CCTTCCTTCCTTCCTTCCTTCCTTCCTTCCTTCCTTCCTTCCTTCCTTTCTTTCTTTCTTTTTCTTTCCTTCCTTCCTTTCCTCCTCTTCCTCCTCCTCCTTCTTTTTGCCTACCTTAACCACCCAAGATCCAGGAAGATTGCCATTCGCACATGCTAATGAAGATAAAATGAAATCGTAGAACTGTAATAATCTGTTTAAAAGCCACTCTGCATCAGGATCTTATTGGATATTAACCCACACTTGGCATTGTTTGTTTCGTCACGAACGCTGCTTACAACCTTTGTTCTTTGCGCTCAAAGAAAAAGGAGAAGGTGTAACCTACACTTCATTCAGTAATGGAAGGGAGGTGGGAATATTTTTTTTTTTAAATTCAGCCTTTGAATATGTGTCCCTCTGCTCTTTAAATGCTAAAGTTCACAGAAAACTCCAGTGATTTATATAGAATTTTTGCCTGCCAGCACCTGGCAGATGGGGGGGAAAAAAACTTCCCCAAGTTTCCATCATAAACAGCAAGCGTACAATTTAATTTTAATGTGCTCATTAGTCGTAGCACATTTCAGATATAATTGTGAATGCGACACAACATTATAGCAAAAAAGACAATTTTTAATGCGGCTGTAGAAAAAAAAAAGGTTATATGAAGAGTCATATCATGGTGCCACATTGTCAACAACAGAAAAGGGCACAGAGTGTGCAGTTTGGGGTCTGTGCTGTTTACATGCCAATATTGTACACATAGATTTTCATATGGTGTCAGCTGTCAGTTACTTCTGCAAATTAACCGCCAAAAATGGAGACGAAGAGAATCACTTAGTGTGCTGGTAACCACGGGTTACCTTTCATATGCTTAAAGATAAAACTGCAGTATGAAATCTTGGGAGAATAATTAGGAAGAACAAAACAGAAAGTTACCAACTGAAAAGAGAGAGAGAGAGAGAGAGAGAGAAAATGAGACAGAAGGCATTCCAGATATGAAATAACAACCAAGAGTCTTATAAATAACTAAGAGGTTATATCATAGAATCCTCATAACTTTTAAGCAAAGTATTACAGTACAAACGTTTTAAAGGCTCTTTTTTTTTATCAATGTTTAGGAAATACAGTACAAGATTTTTCTCCCCCTCCAAGTCTCCCACCCCAAATAGATTTAACCCTTTGAGCACTGAGTTGATTTTGAACTTTCTCTTGAATTAATTATTGTTTAATTTTTTTATTATTATTTTACGAATAAATACCTTTAGAATTTGTGTTGTGCAAAATAGTTCTAATGCACTCCAGTCCGTGGCTTCATTATCAGAATGTTCTTTTTTTTTCTTTTAAAAAAAGTAGCAAATAACTAATAAATATGCATAATTTAAACATGAACCTCTATCAATATAGATGTACTGTATAGCAAACAAAACAATAATCATACTTTGCTTCAAGAATAATGTTTCTGAATACTTTATAAATGCTATCTGTTGTATCTTTCATATAATTTACATTGTTCGGATGTTAAAAGAAAACCCTTTGACCTAGAAAAGAAATATACATTATTATTTTATATATTTATATATATATATTTATATATTTATAGGTACCACTTAGACTCAAGAGCATATTAGGTAGAAAACCCATCATCGATAAAAACATCAAAGAAGAAATGGCATTGTCCACAATCACATTATTTTTTTCATTCGTGGATTCTGAAATCTGTACAATATATACACACACGTTTCAATGTGAAAATAATATATTTTCAAATTTCAAGATGGGTGCCACACCCCTGCATAGACAGAGGATTATTAATTCCAACAAAGAACATATCCAGATATAGATCTTAGGAACCAGATCTCAGATTAATCTTTTTGACCACTTGCAAAGGCTGCAACTTAGCGAAAGTCAAGCTTTCTTGGGGAGACGCTGACGCAACCATCCATCCATGCAGGAAGGCAAATGGAAAGGTTGGTCAGTCTATATTGACTATGGACCTACACACCTCTGGGGGTTCAGTGGTCAAATCAGGATCTCTATGATGTGCCTGAGGAACAAATGGGAGAGGCAAGGAGGAAGCAGATTTGGCCAAAGAAAAAGCTGATGTGTTCGAATCCTCTTCAACTCTTTTGTTAAATCCCAGGTTTGAACTTACTTGGAAATCTGCAGCAGATTCAACTGTGCCTGGACCCTGAATTCATTGGTGAAGCCTGGTTAATTGGAATGTAGAGCTGAAGAGGGGGGGTGAGGGACCACCACCCACTCGAAAAGCCCTCTGAAAAGGCCACATTCTAGTCTCAGAAGACACAGCCCCTCTCTGATGTTGACCGGGGGGGGGGGGAACCAATGGAAGAAACAGTTGGATGAGCTAATGCAACTTGCAAAGCATGTGTTATAAATATTGGCAGCATTGAAACAAGGCAGGGATGTAAAAAATGTTCCCTTAGGAAGAGAATGGCTCATAGGGAGCACCATCTCACTCATCCAATATCGGAATGGTCTATAAGTAGGTTTCCTAGACAAGGAAACAATTAGGCTCATCGTGAACCATTTCCTCTTCTGGAAGATCTTCTTCCAGATATCTACAGGTTCCTCTACAGAACATCTGGACTGGTGTGCCCTGGAAGAAAGACTGATGGTCCCACTGTTCCCAGAACATTCCATCTAGAAGTAGATTTTCTGGAAAAGGAAACGATTAGGATCATCGTGAACCATTTCCTCTTCTGGAAGATCTTCTTCCAGAAATCTACAAGTTCTTCTACAGAACATCTGGACTGGTGTGCCCTGGAGGAAAGAGTGATGGTCCCACTCTTCTCAAAACATTCCATCTAGAAGTAGGTTTTCCAGAAAAGGAAATGATTAGATCATCGTGAACCATTTCCTCTTCTGGAAGATCTTCTTCCAGAAAACTACTGGTTCTTCTTCAGAACATCTGGACTGTTGTGCCCTGGAAGAAAGACTGACAGTCTGGAACTGTATGGTTTATCCATCCCTATTTGGGATATGTCAAGAACTGCCACCAATTTGCTGCTCAGTTGGTCCACGTGTCCAAGTGGTGACAGTTCTTGCAACATCTCAAGGGGGAAGTGTCCTTTCAAACATCACATGATACCATGACTGGCTGCTGATCCTTTTTTTTGTTCAGGCTTGTTGCCTTGACCAGAAAATGAAATACTAAGCCAGAATGGGATTTTTCTCACAAAAAAACAACAACCCAAGAATAAAACATGTCTATATTGTTGTTGTTTTTTCCTTAAAAAGGAAACCAGATTAATGCAAAAGTGCTTCAAAGTACTCAGAGGGCTAAAGATTTACAGGTGAGAAACAGCCAGCACACTTCATTTGCCATGAAAAGAGTGTACCATGATTTTAGTTAATAAATGCTTAAGTAAACTGTCTTGTCAATGCATGCAGCATGAGGCATCACAGTGACGCACAGCAACTAAAAAAACCCCAATTTACACAAAGTTCCAAACACTTACCACTGAGTTTTTAACCTTCATATTTTACCAGTAACAACAGCTGATTATGTACCTCTATTAAACACTATACAGTTATATATATATATAAAAAATGAGACTCGTCCAGAGTTAGAGTGACACCCCCAGAGTTAAAATAACAATTATGTGCCAAGAACAGGGGTGGGTAAGGGGCAAAGGAGAAACTCAACAGCATGTCTGACAGTTTTCTTCAAAGCCAAGTACAGTGGTTCGGGTAGCTTGTCTGTGACAAAGAAAGAAAGGAAGAAGAGTTGACACTACTGTTTTTCTAATTCACAGACATAAAGAAGATGGTCCTCGGGAGATTTCCCATGTGTTTTACTGAGATGAAGTTTCACAGCATGCTTGCTTGCAAAAGTCCTGTTGCAGAGTTTACATTGGTAGGAAGTCCCCAACTCTTCCTCCGGCGAAGGTGCCGACAGTTTCTCAGAGGAGGGCTTGATTTGTGCTATCTGATTGTTAATCTGCTCGCTGGAGAGTTTGGACAAGTCTCGCAATCTGAAACCTAGATGGGACTCCAGGTGACTGATGTACGTCGAAGGAGTTCTGATTTGAGAAGCACAATCGTTACAAAAGAACACCGGGTGCCCCGTGTCTAAATTTTTAAGGAATTTTGTCCCCCCTGTCCTTCGGAGTTGGTATTTCACATTGGCCAACCAGTGGCTAATGGTGGTCATGGAGAGTCCCGTAAACCTGGAAATGTGCATTCTCTCTTGAGGGCTCAAGTCCGACATAATGTACTTCCCTTCCGACGTCTGCTGCAAACTGGCAGCGAACTGGGCTTGCAGGATGAGTAAATGTTGAGGATTCCAGTTTGACTGGCGTCCCTTCCTTTTCTGAGCCGGAGTCGTTTCTTCTGGTTCCTCAATTGTAGTGCCATCAATGTCAGACTTCTCGGAGAGGCTGGAAGGTGTGGAGGATTTTGATGTGTGACTTTCTGTCAGGTTCTTGAGCATATCCGAGATATCTGACAAGGCATTCTCGCGTAGCGGCGAGTTTGACATAAATGACACAACCGCAGATGTCTTTGCGGTTGTCACTGTAGATGAAGAAGATGCTGAAGACGCTGATGTGGATGACAAAAGCACTGAACCCAAAGAGCAGCTTTTGTCACTCTTGCCTTTCGTCAAATCGATGGGCTGGTCGTTATTGACATGGTAAAAATAACGGTCTAAGTGATCTGGTTTTTTGGGATGCAACGGTGGCGTGGCGACGGCAGCCTTTTCTGCTAAGCTGTTGCTCATTTTAAAGAGCATGCTCATGGGGTCTAGGGCAGGAAGAGAAGGTTTCGCTGCCTTCCCAAGATGAATGTTCATGACAGATTGTAACGCACTTAATGGGTTCACAAAGGGTTGCTCGGGAGGATGGTCGGTAATAATAGCTGCGCTGCTGGTCAAGGTGTTCGCGATTTTCTTGACAATCTCCTTGCCGTTTTCCATCGGTTCTCCGGTTGGGCTGTCTCTGCAGCTCTCCCTCTGAGAAACTGGACTATTCTGATGGCTTTTGAACCCAACGTCACTGGAAGTGTCCATCTTGAGGGGTTCGCTGACTTCGCTGCTGCACGGCGAAGGGGTGGCTCTCTTCAGGGGCGAAAGCTTCCCCGCTTCGGGTTCCTTCAGTTTTTCTTCCACTTTGGCTACTTTTTCCGTGACTTTCTTCACCAACTCTTCCATGGCATGGAAATTTGTTTTGGACACGGGGGAAGTCTGGCTATTTGGAGGTGAAATCAGGGGCTGACTTTTAGTGGGAGAGACTAACTCAGCATTTCCAAACATGGTCTTCAAAGGCGTATTCTTTCCTGATGATCCTAGGGATAATTTCATCATGTTGGGCAGCTGATAAGCAGCATGAATACTGGGGTATCCACCCCAGCTTGGGGTACCATTCTGGGCTTTGTTAATAGCTGAAGTGACCGTGTTTTCCAATGACTTTAAAATATCTAGTCCCCCTTTCGGGCTTTCTTCCAAGTCGTTTTCTGTCAGGTAATGATATTTGGAGGAGATGTCATATTTTTCCTCATCTTCGCTTAATTTGTCTTTGTCTTTCACCTTTTCTTCAGCAATTGTTCTGTCCTTCTCAACTTCTTTCTTGACTTCCATGTTTAATTTTGGGGAGATGCTGGACGGCAGGTTGGAAGGAGAGGTGAAGGTGGTGGCCGCGAGAGGCACAGACTGTACTTTCTCGTCAAGCAAAGTTGTGATGGTCGGCGTGACAGGGGACTCTATAATGGCCTTCCCTTTCTTCATGGCAGAGTTGGTGACTTTAATGAAGTGTCCTGTCACCATCATGTGGGCCGTGAGTTCCTGCAAGGTGTCGTGGGAACTGCCGCACTCCATGCACTTGAGGATCTGAGATTTCCTCGCCTCAAAGTGCCAGGCGTAGCTGGCACCATTCTGGTGTCCATAGCGGTTATTTGGTGTGATGTAAGGGTTGGAATTCTTTTGAAGAGGGTCATTGACATCAGGAAGAGTTCCTTTGGGGGTCCCACCAGTAGAATCTGGGGAACTTGGCAGTTCTAATTCCAGCGAGGTTTTTTTTCGAGTGGCCGGTATGATTTTTGCTGCTACGGGGGTTACGGGTTCCTTCAGAGGCACTTTTTGGTAATGTTTTGTTTTGATCATATGCACGCTCAAGTCTTGAAGCGATTCAAAGGAATGGCCACAGTACATGCACTTCAATACTTTCTGGGCATCTTCTTTCCCTTCCATTTCAAGCAAGGAGCGTTTACGGGGCTTCGACCATCGTTTGGGGTTGTTGTTATCCGTTTCGTGGTTGTCGTCTCGATAATGCCCCGTTTCGTTCATGTGCACCGTTAATTCCACCAAAGTATCGTAGGCTGCGCTGCAGTCTTTACAGCGGAATTTGCTGGCTCCGGTAAAGATGGAGCCGTAAAGTTTACTGCTCTGCCTGTACAACTGAACTGTGCTAAAAAGGCTGGGCTCGGGGAGGATCCTGTTCTGAGATACTTGTTGCAACGTTTTGGCCATGGCGGTCTGGTGCCAATCGAAGCTCCCGCTGCCACAGCTGCTGCTGCTGCTGCTGCTGCTGCTACTGCTGCCATTGGTTTTCTCAACGGCTGGCTGGTGGAGGTTCAAATTCAGGTTGGACCAATAGGAGTTGGAGAGGAAGTTATTGTAGACAGCCTTCATCTGCTCCAGGCTGTCCGACGCCACCGATTCTTCCAGCGCTATGGAAACCTCTTTGCTCTCCTCCTCGTTTTTGATAGACCCACTCTCAAAGTCGGCCATTCGATCACTCGTCTCGCTGATGTGGGACTCGCTGTCCATTTCATGGCTGGAAAATTCAGCCGCCGGAGAGTTCTGATAGCTCTGGCAATTCTTGCCAAAGTCCTTTTCTGGACAGGCGTACTTTGCAGAAGGTTCTCCATCCATTGCTGTCTCCTCCGGTTCCAAGTCATCGTCCACCATGGCTTTCAGCTCATCCGAAACATAAGCTAGCAGAGAAAGAGAGAGAGAGAACAAATAATAAAACACAGTTAGTGATAGCTAGTCTCCATTTCTATCAGCAGCTGGCATGTTTCAGTCAAAGAATTGCATTGATTTGTTAAAATTAAACAGTCAAAATTTAGCATTTCTACCAAGCAAGAGGAAGAGGGGAAGGGGAAAAAAAAATCTGCTCTTCAAACATAATTTGCCACCTTATTCTTCTCAAGGGGCAACAGCTTGAAATTAAAACTAAATTTGAAATTAATGAAGCACATTCTGGAGGTGGCATTCATTTCTAAAGTAATAAATTACTTGTATCAACCTCAGAGACAGCAGTTCCTGTCTGTCAATTAATATGTCTTATGCTTCTTCTACCCCTAATGTATTTCTTAACAGACAGATTCACAATTTAAATTAAGCCAGAATTTTCTTTTTTACTCATTAGATTTTTTTTTCCAGGCCCAATCTTTAATAAAACATAAAAACCATCAACAAGAGTAACAATAAATCCCACAAAGCAACAAGAATGGGGAAAAAAAGGTCTTCCTGACTTATTAGAAAATTAAAAGCTTGCATTTATTGCAGGAGCTGTTTAGCAATGCAGATACTAAACTGAGCATCAGGCTTAGTATTAGAAACTATACTCAAATAAGTAAGTAAGCTTCTCAAAATTTTGTCAGTCAATCAACCCTCTAATTAACAAGATCTTAACAGGTAAAGGTTCCCCTTGCACATATGTGCTAGTTGTTCCCGACTCTAGGGGGCATTGCTCATCTACGTTTCAAAGCTGAACAGACAGCACTGTCTGAAGACATCTCCATGGTTTTGTGGCTGGTATGACTAGATGCCAAAGGAGCACGGAACGCTGTTACCTTCCCACCAAAGATGGTCCCTATTTTTTCTACTTGCATTTTTACCTGCTTTTGAACTGCTAGGTTGGCAGAAGCAGAAACAAGTAGTGGGAGCTCACTTCCTTAAGCGGAGCTAGAGATTCGAACCACCGAACTGCCAACCTTTCTGATCGACAAGCTCAGCGTCTTAGCCACTCAGCCACTCCGTCACTAACAGGATCTTACAGGCCCTAATTCTTAGTTCTGTAGGATAAGCAACTTATAAATAACATTTGCTCTTACCCTGAGAAAATTCTGGATTTGAAAAAATACACTGAACTGAAGATAGAACATTTTTAACTTTTTTGATGCAACTGTATATACAAAACTGGCTTTTATACTTTCTAAAGTACTTTTCAATTGTTTTTATTTCTGTCATACCCCATCTAGAGTTGCTTGTTTCTGAGATGGGCAGCTAGATTAAAGTGGTTTAACAAATAAATGATAAAAGTAATAAAGAAAGACGCTCCAAAGAATTTAAAAAAAAAATGCTATATACATTCTAGATGTGAGTTTAGATAAAATTGTGGAATTTATTTTATAATTTCCCTGGTTAAATTGTAGCCCATGAATAGCAAAATTCAGGACAGGCTCCATAGATGGATTTTTTTGTTTTAAACGTTGAAATTCCTTCCAACTTCACCCGTTAGTGGACAAAAGGGGGGAAAAAAATTGAGCTTGTGCAAAATGCTTTTCAACTTACAGTTATAAAAACTATCCTTGTGGCATTTGGAAATTTGGGGAATAATAGTTCTTAAAGCAAAGCCTGGGGCATCCAGTGAGTTCTCCCATTTTTTAAAAAAATAATTAATTAATTTACAGAGAGAAAAGCATTATGGGGAAAAGGGATAATCGACTTCTCCATGACTTCGTGTCCGTTGCAAAGACTTTTTGACATTGAGTAAGAAAAACAGAACAGCCCTGCTGTAAAACTGGTTTTTTTAAAAAAATGATATTCTGCTCTTATTCTTCCAGGATAAATATACACAAGGTCTTCCAGTGGACCTTACAAATGTCAAAGTGTTTGCTCTTTAGACTATTTTGTCAATATTTCTTCACTGTAAGCTACATTGGGGGTCCCGACAGAGATCCGTGTACAGTATAAGGCACTAGACTGTACTTTGATCCAAGCAACGGAAAAGCCAAACTATATTACGGCACTGCACAACTACTGGGTTATTTCAAAGAACTAAAGGCGCTAGACCCTGTTGTTACTGAAGCTCTTGTCCACCTGCAAACGTATCTAATTTGCCCTTCCCAAACCAATATACAGGGAGTCCTCCATGTACGACCACAATTGAACTCAAAATTGCTGAGGCTAAGTGAAACTTCTGTTCAGTGAGTTTTGCCGCATGCTATGACCTTTCTGGCTACAGTTGTTAAATGAATCACTGCATTTGTGAAGTTAGCAACACGGTTGTTAAGTGAACCTGGCTTCCCTGTGCGTATGGACAGACTTTTTTTAAAACAGGCTAAATTGGAGGAGGGGGGGAATAGGATGAAAGAAAGCAAGGGCCAGAACATAAATGGGCTAGGGATAGAAATGGCATTGTATATTCCTGCTCAAGATGTACAAGCCTTGCTAGTCTGCACATAATATGTGCAAATGTCAGCAACCAAAGCTACTCATAAATAGCTAACTCAAGCAACTTTATTGTCAACCATCAAATTCAAAAATTTAGTGAATTTATATGCCGCCCAATCCCAAAGGACTCTGGGCGGCTTACAGAAATACATCGCTAAAAAGATAAAAAAATTTAAAAAAGAGAAAAGAAAAACAGATTTAAAAAATCACTTCATGCACCCAACACGGGCGGCGCCCGACCTCATTCATGAGGTCAACAGCCCCAGGCCTGCCGGAATAGCCAGGAATAGCCAAGAATACAAGAATTTCCCCAATTACTTGCCTTCTTTTTGCATATCAACAAGTACTGATTTTCCCATTCTTTATATTCTGTTCTTTGGTTTGCATATATCACACAAAGTAAGCAGATTCATATTTCCTTGCTTGAATCCATCCTGATTCAGGAAGCTCACACATATATGCCAGGGGTGGGCTGCTGGGGGTGCACAGGGGCTTGGGAGAACCTCTAGCTAAGATTCTGTGTAGTTCGGAGAACCCCCAAATCCCGCTCCTAGCTGGCACCCCACCCCTCCCAAGAGTCCCCATGCATGGAGGCTCAGGGACGGTGAAAAACAGGCCTACCAGAAATTAGGGAAGGCTGGAAATGGGCCCATTTCCAGCCTCCAGAGGGCCTCTGGATCCTAAGGAGGACATTTTCGCCCTCCTGAAGCCTTTCCTTGAGTCTTTTGCCCCAGGGTGGGCAAAAACGCCCTGTTCCCCCACCCCGCTGTGGTTCAGGAGGCCAACTAGGTCATGCCCACTGCTAAAATTTTTGAAGCCAACCCCTGCATATATCCTTATACCAGTGGTTCCCAAACTTGGCAACTTTAAGACTTGTGGATTTCAACTCCCAGAATTCTCCAGCCAGCTCTCCCCAATTCTGGGAGTTGAAGTCCACAAGTCTTAAAGTTGCCAAGTTTGGGAACCACTGCCTTATGCAAAACAATAGTTGACGGCTCACTATTTGAAAAGTTGCCACTAAACCGCCTTCCATAGCAATAGCAAAAGCACTTAGACTTATGTACCGCTTCATAGTGCTTTTACAGTCCTCTCTAAGCAGTTTACAGAATCAGCATCTTGCTCTCAACAATTTACCCACATCGGAAGGATGGAAGGCTGAGTCAACCTTGAGCCTGGTGAGATTTGAACTGCCGAATTGCAGCTAGAAAACACAACGCTTTGGGCAACGTGATACAAAAGCTATTTCTGGAACGTTTTATTATTTATTGCAAAGAATGGGGATGTAGTTTCTTAAATACACACCACTCTAATGGTGTATTAGCATTCCCTTCACATTTGATAGGATGGAATACATGGCTAGGGAAAGTATGCCTGATGCTTATCACATCCTAATTGTATCAAATTATTGGATTATCTTGTATCTGTAACTGTGCAAAGTTTCTCTGGTGAAGGAACAGTAATTCGCCTTCAGTCTTAATCTACGAGTGTGGTTTCACTGGTCTCCGGATCAAAAAAAAATCTTCTTATATTGTTTCATTGTTAGCTTTGGGCGCAAGGTGGCGCAGTGGTTAAATGCAGCACTGCAGGCTACTTCAGCTGACTGCAGTTCTGCAGTTCGGCTGTTCAAATCTCACCAGTTCAGGGTTGACTCAGCCTTCCATCCTTCCGAGGTGGGTAAAATACCTGAGAGATACCTGAGAGACCGCCGGGTACCAGGGTACCTGAGAGACCGCCG